TATTAATATACCATGCCGACACATAAAGGCGGTTATCTCCTCAATCTTGCTCTGTAGCCCGTTACAGTTGAATTGGAGGAGCTTCATGTGGTTCGGGAGACGTGTTGTGATGTGGGGTGTGAGTGAAGTGTATGTTCTTGCCGCCGTTGGCTGTGTGCGCTGCTGGGGTGATTGCCTCCCTGTGGTGGTAGTGGGGGGCGTCGCAATTGATGTTAGCGGCCGAGCAGCGCAACACGGGCCCTCGAAGTTACCCGTCCAATCTCGCGTGGTGCGCAGACCTGAACATGCCCTAAAGTGGCACCAGCCAAGGCAGGTGTTGCACTTGACTGATGTCACATTACGGAATATTCTGGTCTGACATACCGTGCAGATTGTAGGGGGAACCAAGAGTTGTTGGCGGCGGCGTGTGGGTGGTGCAACTCCCACCAGGCTTACAAATAAATTATTTAGTTACTTGGGGAAAAGTGTAAAAAATTATTTTAAACAAGAAATTAAAATCCTGTAGTCCCCTCTTAACTGGTATCACGAAGTTTAGAGTGTTTGAATTACTTTGCTTTTTCGAATAAACAACATATGTACATATTATCAAACTGACTTCATAAAAATCTTGATCAATTTTATAAAAAAATCTGAAATTTAGGATACACAATGAAAAATTTAAAACTTAAGTAAAGGCCAAATTAGAGGTGCCATAACCATAACGCCTTAGCCATAACGTAGCAAAATACTTTAGAGCAGCTTTTGATTTTGGCGAAAAAACTAAAATTAAATAGATACCTACGGTTATGGTTATGGCTCTGGTGTTATAGTATGGCAAAATTTAGTTGAATTTTATCTCAAAAACGGGGCCAACCTCATCTTATAAATTTTTCGATTCTGAGGATTCTTAAGTTTAAATTAGTAGTGCCATACCATAGCAATAACCACAACCATAGCAATTAAATATTCCTATAAAACGTACGCGCAGCTCTGTAAGCGATTACCCGATTTTTCACCCCTTTCTACTCAATCCATCGGTATGAGGCAGAATCCATCAGACGAATTGGAATAAATGTTTTTTTTTCTTCGGAGAAACTACGTCTAAATTCAACTTTTAAATTTTTCATACTAGCATTTTTCACACTTCAATAGTTTTTTTCTCAAAAAGTGGACGTCCTAGAAAAATTTTGTAAATGCACTTCAAATCAGCAAAAAAAAATCTATAAGATAAGGTCGGCCCCTGGTGCCTGAACTAGCTAGGCATTACTGTACTGTTGTAAGATACTGTTGTAAGAATTTCTCATTGAATTTCTCTCAAGTCATGTATATATTTCTTATATTGGCACTACCCACAAAAATAATACATATATCATTAACGCTTTATTTGCAGATTTCTTTGGCATGAATTAATATATATATATATTTTTTTTTGTTTTCATATTTTCCCCGCATCCACTTAGAGCGCCTCCGATTCGGTGTTGGAGAAAACGCGAAATGCCAGCGCGTCGTCTGGGGGCATACGCGCCAGCCCGTTGGCGTCGAATCACAACAATAGCAAAGCATCATCACCTACGCTTTCGGAGAGTAGCAATGGCAGCGGCAGCCACAATAAAATCGCTGTCACAAGTAACAGCAGCAGCCAAAGTATCAAAAGTAAAGCGGCAAGCTTGAAGTAAGTGAAGTGTTGTTAAAACATATAAACGTACATATGTATTTGTTGTACTACTTATAACATAGGTTCAACATATAGTACATACATATATTTAAAAAAAACTCATGTTTGTATGTACATATACAGTGGAGAGCAGAAATGAGTACACGGTGGTTTTTGTTAAATATTTGCAAGGTTTTTAAAGTAAAATTGTTTTTTATTTTTTCATAAAAATATAGTTCATGCTTCAACCAAACCCGTTTTAGAAAAATTTAGCAAATTTTCTTTAAAATTTTAACTTTTTAATATGATTCTCAATTCTCAAAGATCAACGCGATTTTGCAGCCGCCTAAAACTTGCACTTTATTATACTAAAATTTAATGGGCTACCAAACTGCATACTCAAAAAATTCTGAAAAATCAGATTTTAATGAAAATTTGTTAAATTTTTCTAAAATTGTTTTGGTTAAAGCATGAACCATACTTTTATAAAAAAAATAACAACAAATTTTACCATTAAAAACCTTGCAAATATTTAACACAAATAATCGTGTACTTATTTCTACACCCCACTTTATACATATTTACTTTACTTCAATATGTCAATAATTATTGTTTAGCGAAGTAAATGTGTAGTTATCTATGCACTCTTACTCTTGCCTGTCCCTATATGCTAGTACATACTTTCATACATATTTGTGTACTCTAGTCTCCATATAAAATATTGTTTGTGAGCAAAATACATACATACATGCATACATATGTACAAATGTGGGCTCATTTTTATAAGTATGCGCATCTTTACTTTGGTTTCGCTCCGTTCGATATTCACCTGCTTCACTAAGGCTTTGTAAAATATATCTACATGCATACAAATCTGCGGCTTATCTTAGCTTTTTTGGCGGTTGCACCAAACACGCGTCTACTGCAAGCGCCAAATAAACAACATATCCACATATACTAACTGCATACTCCATGTACATACAGACATACATACGTATACATCCGCTTACGTACTTATCATACTTTAATTTGTATGCACCCACATCCACTCAATCATTTCAGTCACCTGCTTGTCAATATTTATGTCACGCGCAGTTTAGCAGTTTATTTCCTACTTCTTTTTATCTTACTTTCGCAGTCTTACAAAGCTCTTTCAAGCTGAAATCTTTTTCTTTCTAAAACACCTTCCGCTTAGTATTATTTAAATTTTTTATACTAATATTTTATGCGCGTCTATATCGCCCACTCATTTACAATGTGTTGTAGTTTTTGTTTTTTATTAATTTTTATTGCAAACTCCGTTTGTTTGTTCTCAATTATCTTTTCATTAAGAACTTGTCGAGAGATTTTTCACTTCCACTACTACTATGTAGTTCAAAGCAAATATCTAAAATATATTTTAATAATTCGTCAAATTATTATGATATACATATACTAGTTCATTGAGATGAACTAGCTCTTTAGTTCATTCAGTTCAAGAGCTACCCAAGCCTAATATATAGGTACATATGTAAAAGACCGAACTTACTTACGACCTGAACGTAAAATTGTCTGCCTTCAACAGCGCACGAAAAGGGCTAGATAGAAGTTTTTATTGTAAATATATTAGGGCGATTGACTCGGTTTTTCGAAACCTGTTTCAACTGTTTTTTAACCGACTTCACAAAAACAGAAGGTTATCAATAATTTTTTTATGTACAGTCAATCAATAAAGTCTACCTATTGCAAAAAATTCGCTGTACCTAAACTTTATTCATTGACTGTATGTACTGAAAGGTGGTACCACCTCCCATCCTAATTTGATTTAGATCCGATCATTGGATTTGATTTACGAAAAACTGGAACAACTGGGCCAAAACTGTTCTGATTTAGACTTATGGGATCTCACTAGAAAAGTTATTCATGCCCCAATATTTTTTTCAAATACCAACACATCTTAATTCAACTCGTTCATCCTACCTTTTTCGTTCAACCTTTGTATGAGTTAGCAAAGAGATATAAAAGTGTGAGAAAACACCTTACCAATTATACCTCACAAGTCTAAACCGGAATAGTTTAGGTTCAGTTATTCTAGTTTTTCTTATACCAATCTTTGAAAAAAGTTGAAAAAACAGCATCAATTCCGTTGAAAATTTGTTTACATTTTTTTTAAATATTTTTATGCAAATTTTTTAAGCTTAAACTGTCATTTGAGGAAATTAAAAAAAAAAATCTTTAAGAAACTATTTTTATTCATAAAAAACTCCATTTTTGGAGGTATTTTCAAATTACTCCAGCTCACATAGATCTTAATATTTTTCCGAAATATTTTGGTGGACGTCTTAAAATATAATAGATTTTATAATTCCAATGGAAACGCAGTACCGATTTTTTTTTTGTATGGGGAGTGATGCCGTCTACTGTACATATTTTTTATTGAAATTTGTGCCCGTAAACTCTTTTTCCCAAAAATCCCATTTTAATCTTTTTGAGCCCAATCAAAGCCTAAACGTAACAAAATATTCCCTTTCGAAATGTTCTTAGCCGAAAATTCTCTCCTCGGTCGAAAACACGTGTTGTTATCGCTTTTTTCATACATATGTTTATTACTTTTTCATTTCTTTCTTTTGTACATACATTACTTATTCATGTTTTTTTTTCCTATGCTTTTTTTACATAAACATACATATTTTTCTTTTATTTTTAACAGTTTATCGTTAGGAAAAACAAATTCAAATTTTGTAAATAATAAAAGTAGCCTGTTTAATACAAACTCTTCTTCTACAACAACAACAACATCAACTATAACAACTACGCAATCAACAACCTCTTATAATTCTATCAACAACAACAACACAACAACGACTCCAAAAAACAATTCAAACTATAAAAGCAGCCTGAACAGCACACTGTCCAAGACACAATTCCAACAGCAGCAACAACAAAAATCGCCCGCACCTATCCGTGGCAGCATCCTTCCGAACAAATCCTCTTTATTTGGCGCGAATGGAGTTAGTAGTGGAGGTGCGGGCGGTACGACGGCAGCGTCGTTGGGTAGCACCAATTCGCTTGCCACTCCCATCCCGTCATCATCGTCACCGGCTAATAAATCGCCGACGCCAAGCGTGAAACCGGTGCCGAATCATGGCAAACCGAATTTCGCGCCAAAGCCACCAGGATTGCAGCAATTGGCGTTGGCGAGCAGTCAACGGCCGACAGTGTCGCGCCATCACAGCATGAAGTCACCAAGGTATACCAAGAAGCTACACCAAAAAATAAATAAAATAAAAAATAAAACGAAGTCACTCTGTGAGAGTGTTTACTGTTGGAAGTATAAAGATTATAAATTTTGTGTGTATGCATACATTTTTTTTTTTATATTTTTGGGCTTAGCCGTTTTGGGGAAAAAGGGTTGGCGTGCATGTGCGTGCTTTAAGAGTTGTATAGTCGTACAAGGGATTATTAACTAACAAAACATGCATCAAAAAAGGACCTTACTTTTGTATAATTAATTATTCATTGGCATCCAAGTTGTACGTTGAAAAAATTTTGTGGTAGATGTTTCATATTGTATCACTTAAGGTGTTCTTACACAATATGTATTTGCATCTGTAAATGTGAATTTTTCAATACATATGTAATTGCGAATGTCTGTCAAATTCACAGTCTTTATTTAACTATTTAAAAATACGTTCTTTGAAAACGAAATAAACTGAACTCAGATGATTCTATTTGAGTTTCAGATGAAAATAGAAACATTTCTATTTCGTATGTACTTGCATCTGCTTTGTACAGAAACCAATCTAATTTGCCTTTACACGATATGTTGGCATTTCCATGTGTAAAAAATGGCATGTACACACGCAAATACATATCGTGTAAGAACACCTTTACTAGATACGTGTGTATTTGTAAATACTGTACCATATATTTTTTAGGTTATTTTTCCCAATTATTAGTACAAAATGATAGATTACGTTTTATAAAAAAAAAAGTTTTATAACAATATAACGCCTAAATACATACACGCAAGGGCATCATAATGATTCGTTAAAATAAAGCTCGCCAAAAAACATTAAGCTTTTGCTAAGGAAGTATGTCGACTATACTATTTAAACTATTTAAAAAAAAAAAGTTGTATTGCCGTATGTAGGTGTCACCAAAATATTTAAAAAGGCGACCACTAGATTCGGCAAACAAATATTTTTGTTTCGAAATTGTCTTGCAAAAATACTTTAGACGGTGAACTTTTTTTTATTTGCTTGTAAGGTAGTACGGTCTAATGTACGCATTTGTCAAAAGATTTTTGGGATCACTCTTCTTCAATTAAAATATCTCTTACTCAGATATCTTGCAAACACCACATAGATATCAATGCCAAAACAATAATTTAAATTTTAAGGTTATGCTTGAATCCGATTATTATTTTTTAATTCAAGTGCGAGCTTACTAATTAATAAATTACATTGATGTTTCGACCACCACATTAAAAGAAGTCCTATTTAGGCGTAATGCTTGAAACCGACGAAAATAAATATTAAAATATTGATTTATAAATTGAGGGTATGTCCGAATATACTTATTTGGTGGTCGTTTTATAATAAGATAGAATGTACAAGCTCACGGAAAAGAGGCCACTTTGCATGCAACAGATGATACTAAATGCCGATATTGAGCTTATATCCAAATCTACTAGTTATGCGACCATTTCATTAAAGGATAAGATGTGCAAACACGCGAATATTGATGTCAATATAACGATTGGTATTATGCCGGAATGTTTACATTTTCGAAGGCCTGGAAATACTAATTTTGGCTTCTTCATTATAGACAGGCCCTACTTAGATATCTGGCCGGAAATATATGAATATCTATGCGCAAAACTAGTTAAAGTTTGAGTTTATGTCCGAATTTATTCATTGTTTGAGCCATGTGCTAAAAAACAGAAACGAGATTAATCGTTTTTTTTTTACTTCATTAAAAATAAGCACTACATTGGCCATTTTGTTCGCAGCAGAGGAAAATAAATGTCAAAATAATGACTGCTATTTGGAGTTACGTTCAATCTAATAATTTTTCGACCATTCAGTTCTCAACTTTTTAACTTTTCAGAAATTGGGCCCGAATAGAAGAGTCGGTATACATAGTAGCCGAATTTTGGCATGCTACAAGTTTTTCATTTCTTCGCAAAATGCGAGTACGTAAATATTAAAAATTTCCAGTATATATTTCGAAAAATGTAGGATTGCATATGTCAGCAGTTAGTAAAGACCTTAATATGTTGCCCTGTAAAATTCAGAATGTAAATGCTAGGTTAGGTCGAATTAGAACTACAATAACATTAGAATTTATAGAGACAGTATTTGTTTACGAATTTTTTGACAACGTGTAGAATTGAATAACTATCTTAAACCTCATACAATTATTTTTTATACTTTTTAATTGTGTTTATATAATTTTTTTATATATATTCCAGTTTTTGTTATTATTATTTTAACGCGAATCATAATCACATTATTCGTCACTTCACACAATTAGCGTTAGTTGTAGGTACACCGATACAGAAATTGTACATCTGGCTCTGTGAAAGCAAATCGCCAAAGCTGTTTTCATTTCCCAACGAGATCATAGTGTCAGATCCCAATTCGCGCAAACACTACGACCATATCTGTTTTTTTACAGTTGTAATTATTAAATAGTTCACCTTTAAGGAGCCGTGATTTTTCAAGCCTTTGACTGAAAATATGTTTTGTGTTTTTTAATGCAATTATTTAATAAATCACATTTTGAACTCTGTTCCACAGATCACCACCAATTACAGCGCCAGGTGCGCCTGTTTTTCCCACTCAACAACACTTTGGCACAATGCGCGCCCCACTCGCTCAGCTGTACCAGTCACAAGAAGCGATTAATAGCAGCGGTATGCGAATGGCACCAAATCCACCAATTGGTATGCACCATTTAATGCACATATGCTTTTGATAACAATCTCTAAACATAATTTTCTTTTCGTTACTTCCAGGTCGTCCTACAGTGGCACCACCCAAACCGCCATCAGTGAAACCACCGCCACCACCAACACCAGCGCGCAGCGTCTCTAATACTAATCTAAATAGTATGGTGGGACAAAATGTAGCTACTTCAGCTGCTGCTGGCAGCTCGTCAACTCCTTATAGCGCTGTGAACACAACACTTATCTCTTCCGTAACCAGCAATTACTCATCTCCAACCACCACGCAGCCACCTTCCAATTCGTCTTCCTCCAGTAGTGTGTCAGCGTTGCGTGATCAATTCCGTAGCGCTACAAATGCGACACCACCACCGCCACCGCCACCCTCAGCCGCCACGGCCCATGCGAAGTCAACTGCGATTGTTAGTGGCGCGCAACCAGGTGTTGGTCAAAGCAGTCCGGGCAGCCCTGCCGCCAGCAGGCAGTCATTGAATCGCGATAAGTCGATAAAACCGATCATATTGAATGGTGGAATATTGAATGCGCCACCACTGCCACCGCATCGGACTTGTCCAGCACCACCACCACCGCAACGACAAACAAGTAATGTAAGTACGCCTTTCAGTTTAGTACACTCAATGCATGGTTAGGCGTATTTATCGTCAGTAGACACGAATAAATTCGCGAGCTTCAAAGTTAACCGCGAAAAAAAGACGCATAAAAAACTTCAGCGAAGAAAGGCGCTCAAACCTAATCGATGGCGAAGAAAGACGCGTTAACTTATTTTCACGGTGAACTATGTTTGTGGGTGTAATAGTAAATACATTCCCCAAAAAGTTTTTGGAGAATAAAGCTGAAGTGACAGTCCTTGGCTAGGTATTCCACCTATGATTACGCGTCTTTCTTCGCCGTCAACTGGGTTTACGCGTCTTTTTTCGTCAATGCGCTCTTTTTCGCCGTTAAAACAATGGTGCGCCTTTATTTGTGTTTAGTGACGTTATGTAGTATAAGTACGTATTCATGGATGACCGCTGTAGTTGAGTGGTTAGAGGTAAGTATTACCACTCAGCTAACGCATATGTCCCTATGAACGACAACGATTGAGAGACAAGCCGATCTGGGCGGGGTTGAGTGGTTACTACACCAACAACAACAACAACCTGCGATCGATGCTGAGCCGAGCAATATCTACATAAAATTAGAAAAAGCTTTTTCTAACAGCGGTCGCCCCTAAGAAGTCGTGGCAAACTTCGGAGTATATTTCTGTCTTGAAAAAATGGAAGGGGTTGTAAAATTGTTGGCCACTTGCCACAAAAGAAAGTCTTAGCAAAAGTGTAAGCGCTAAATGTTTTTTTTTTTCAACATCTACATTAGACCGTGCCACCTTACAAGCAAACAAAAAAAGTTCGCAGTTAGTTTAAAGTATTTTTGCAAGACAATTTCGAAAGAAAACAAATTTGGATCAGCCTAGCTTTATTTTACTGATATTAGAGCGGGTTACATTAGGGTGATAAGAACTGAGATCTGGTAGGCAAGTGCTAGAACGGGATATTTGAGTTCAAAGAACTGGATTGAAAATTTTTTTCTAAAGACAAAAACATGGATGCATTATACTTATATTTTAAGATCCAACTGTAAGTGACGAAGATATTACGCCTAAGGCCAGTGTTTTTCCAATCTTTTAATTCCTTTCAAATAATAGGTTTTTCAAGGTCCTCCGACCGAAATCTCTTACCGTCCAGCTTTTTCTTTGGGTTCGGAAAAAAGAAATAGTCGCTGGGGGTTAAATCTGATGAATATGGTGGATAGGGTAGGAGTTCGTAGCCCAGTCGATGGATTTTTTCTGTGGTGACTGCGCGTTGGCGACGGCGAGTGCCGCAGACGATGAGTTGTCCGATGGCAATTGACGGGAGTAATTTTACATATAACGTTAATGCTCGAGAAATTCAAAAAGCCAATAACTTTTCAAATAACCCTCGATCGTACTTTAATATCCGACCGAAGAAAAGGCGGAAAATGGGAAAGGCCACAAAAAAAAAGTACGAAAATTCCTTGCCAAAATCCGGTGGACTCAGCGGTGTACGGCTAACTTTTTTAACCGATTTCACAAAAAGGAGAAGGTTATCAATTCGTCGGAATATTTTTTTTAAATGTATGTTACCGCATAACTTTGGACCACGTTAACCGATTTCTTTAATTCTTTTTACCTCACAGGTGGCCCAATACTAATTTGGTTTAAATCCGATCATTGGATCATGAAGAAATTAACGATAATCTTAAATTTTTATATGCGAATTGAAGTCGGTTTTGTTTAAAAATTACTTATTTCTTGATACGGTATAATGTGCACGTATGCAATGGCTTGTGCTAATGCAAGCACTTGCTCGCCGTTAGCTTGCAGTTGGGTGTGTTTATGAATGAGCACGTGTCCTCTGGGCACACGAAAGAATCCAACAAAAAAGCAACTCAGATCAAAATAGAAGTAATAACGAGCGTGTAAATGCCAGTATACTGTAACAGTTTGAATTACACAAAGCGAATAGCTTTGTGTCAGTAGCTCAGATTTTTTTTTTTGGTGGTTCGTTCTCACTACATTCTCATCATATCTACATACTCTTTGGCTCTTGCTGAAGGGTGGCTGTCATTGCTGTTTTTATACATTCGCTCTCATAGGTAGGTACTTAATAGTGATGATTTTGTTGCTGACGGTACTTATTAGGTAAATCTAAAAGCATTTGAGGAACATTTAACGTTCAAAGAGGAGAGAAGTCGTCGTCGTTAGTAGGATTCAAATGAATATGAAAACCTTAAACCAAAGGAATCCAATAGATCCTATATAAGGAGTTAGTAACCAAAACCTCCATATCTCTTGTACTCTATAAATATCCAGCCCAACCGCGAAAATACATAAGTGACATTTTTTTCAAAAGTTTCTTTTAGATTCAGAAATGCTTTTAGGGCATCTAGGTAGAAAAGGAAATTTGGAAAAAAATTCACTTACGTTATATTCGTCGAAATATGGAACCTGACTCAAATTTTAGTATTTTGCAAGATAAAAGACGGACTAGCTGAAGAGTAACCTGGTAGTATTCTAGCTCCTACTAGTTTTCCTTCAAGGTACCTACATGCATACATATGTTTGCAATTTGGAAGACTGTTGGTTTTGTAGATGAAACCTCGTTTACCTCCTCTACCAGTATCGTACTTTGTATTTGTATACCGATTAATCTCAGTATGCAGAAAGCGCAGACAACATCATCATCCATTTCGTAATTGGCCAATGTCTTTAACAATTTATGTAAACAAATAACAAAATCGTCATAAGCGGGAAACAGGAAATTGCGGTACTAGACTGGCTATCTGTCGCCATACCTAATAGGGCCGTAAATGAATAACGATTCCAGGAATCCCACTGCAGATAATGTTTGACAATTGAAACTTAAGGCAGAAAAAAAAATATTGAAATCTAATAAAAAATTTATTGAAATCTAAGTAAAGTTAATTTCTTTCGCGTTTGCTTTCAAAGCAATCTAAAGTTTTTTTCTTATTAACAGAAACATAATGTCAATCGATCACGTTATTAAGTTGCTCCTTGAAATGCAAAAATACATACATATCTGTCTTCATATGGAATAGAAGCTCATGTCGAAAGGCTTGCGAATGACTCACTGGCGCCGAGTCGTTGAAGAACTTTTGGCAAATAAACGTGCAAGAAATAGTTTCGATACTAGCAAGTTAATATTCTTTTAAGTCTCATCAAAAAATTCCTTGTCATTTAAACGATAAAAGGAATGCCGACTTATTCTAAAGCCAGCTTCAAACATATGCTACTATTCCATACGAACACAGATATGTATACATAGTATTACATACACATGTATGTATCTATAAATTTTTTTTCTATTGACAAAAAAATATATAGCAGCAATATTCAGGTTTCCGATTAATCAGTTTTCTGATCAACAAAGTTAATCAGATTCTGATTAATTAAAATATAATTGATCAAGAAATTAATCTCTTTGATTAATAAAAATTATTAATTATTTGATTAATTAACTAATCAGGTTTCGATTAATCAGCTTGTTCATTTAATTGATTGATCGCATATCCCAAGTTAAAATATTATTCGAAAAAATTGTTGGATTTTGTTGCTAGCAATTTCAAATATACATAATCCAAATATTACATCTTAAAAATATTGAGGTAAAAAGTGACAAAACTGTCGCAGACGTCTTTAAAATCTTCTCCCTCTGTCATTCTCGCTTTCTGAAACTACCTCCATGTTAGTACTACTAAGAATATAGGCCAATTATCAATTTGTTGTGCTACGCTTATTTAACAGACTTACACGCACCCCCAGCCTAGATTGAATGAAAACGAATAAAGAGTGCAGTAAAGGTGTGTATGTGTGTGTGTAGCTGTCAGTTTTTCATGCAACATATTGGAGTGGGTTGTTCTCAGCGTTGCCAGGTTGACGTTTTTAACGTCATTTGGACGTTTTTTGTATCCTGTTGCCGTTTGGACGTTTTTTGTGTAAAAAATTACGTTTTTTAACTTCCCAGTAATTTTTTTCTCTGTTACTAAATCTTGTAAGTACCCAGTAGAAATCGGTGGTATGCATTCACGAAGAATGCTTGCTATATGAGTGAATTAGTGTGAACAATTCATTCGTAGTCATTAATTTCAACGAATAAATTCAAATTCCAGCGAATTGCAAGCGAATGTACGTTGTCGTTGTTTTTTAAGTACATTTCTTGATAAATTTGAAGTGGAATTTTTGTAATATTTTCAGTCTTGTACAAAAATTTTAGTGAACGAACGTGTTGTGCGATACTATTTTCAGCACAAACGGGCTTTTACAAGATATGCATTTGCATATGTAAGTGCTACTTTTTTGTATGTCCCCGTATATTAAAATGTATCAGAGAAGTAGAATTTACATATGGGGATCGTTAGTAAGTCTATTCATGATGAAATGTCAAAGCATACTGAGCATCTTTCTCTTTGACACCATGTCTGAAATCCCACGTGATCTGTCAAATACTAATGCATGAAAATCCTAACCTCAAAAAAATCACCCGTTAT